AAAACTGTCATGAGAAAGGTTGATTTCCGTGTAATTAGAATAGGAGATTTGGCCATCATGAAGATAAGATTGTTAAACAGGATATTTTTCTAATCTATTATCCCATTAATTTAATGAATATTTTCGGCGTCCATTCATGATTCATCATTATTTGCTATAACTACATTAACTTCTTTTTCACTTATCAATCACGCCTTTGCTATTGTCTCTAATGTGTTTCTTCCTGGAAGCTCTGTTTCTGTATTTGTCACTAATTTGTTGTCGTAGCCATTCGTATGTTGTAGACCAGTTATTTATTTGTATCGGTACACGTGTCATAGTGGTGATGTTGGTGCACAACTTTTCATTGCCGTGTTGCAGAGCGTGGACAAGAAGCGGGCAAGAAGCGCCGCCGTTCTCTCTCATCGTCGTCGTCTGAGGCCGATGTGTGTGCAGTTTTACGGGAGCGTGGTGCCCGTCACAGGTCTCGAGTGTCAGCTTTCATGGGATCGCCTGCCCGCAAACCTGTCGCCTTCAAACACAGGGTCAACTTCTCATTACACAGTTCTTCTTGAGATAAAAGTATGACATACCGGTATATCCGTATTAGGTAAATATTTTTCTTAATTAATTAATTGAATAAATTAATTAATTTTATTTTAATTAATTAATTTTCACAGTGATAATAGGATAATAAAATACATGTAATTCTCAATGTAACCGTGCGTTTATTACTTCAGACTACGCACAACAAGAGTTCAACCAGCAAGAGCAACAGCAGCAGTGATGATGAGCACAGGTTTGAGGAGCGTCGTGCCAGGAGCAACGCTAAGGCGCGCAGCACACTCCTGCCCATGAACATGAATGAGGAGGACATGCAGCACCGGGTTATTAGGTTAGATTCTTCACTCGGCATTCCAACACGTTTGACTTTACATTTGTCTTAAAAATTATACTTAAACTTTATGAATAACCATCATATTTGTCTTAAAAATTATACTTAAACTTCATGAATAACCATCATCATGAATATTAATTTATGGTTGTCCTGCCGCTGCTTTACCCTGAAATTTTCGAGAGATTTGGAATGACGGCCCCAAGAGGTGTTCTCTTCTACGGCCCTCCAGGTGATGCAGACAACTTTATTTTTATTTCGTCTTGTGAAATTAAAATTGAGAATTTACCAATAAGTTTTTCCACTAAACAGTAACGTGAAGCTCATCGACTATGCATTAAAACCCTTGGTATTTCGCTTCTTTGATGATCTCAGCTCTTAGGTGGTCTTCCATAGTGTGTCATTAGTAACAGGTTAAGCTAGTATGCTCGGCTCGTCTCGAGTTGAATTGGATTGCTTCATACTTATTAATTGACATGCTAATGTTCCAGGGACTGGAAAAACATTGATGGCTCGAGCTCTCGCAAACGAATGCAGTATTGGGGAGAGGAAGGTTGCCTTCTTCATGCGGAAAGGGGCAGACTGCCTCAGCAAGTGGGTGGGCGAGTCCGAGAGACAGCTTCGACTTCTCTTCGATCAGGTTTGT